GCCGGCGCCGCCCATGCTGCCGCGGCCACCGCCCGCAGCGCCCACCGCGCTGCCGTTGCCGCCGCCGCGCGCGCCGCCGGCGCCGCCACTGGCGGTGCCACCCCCACTGCCGCCACCTGTCGGTGGTGGTGGAGCAGGAGCTTGGTTGGCGCCACCAGCGTTGCCGCCACCACCACCGCAGAATACTTTGAGGCCACAGACCTTGCAGACTGAGGAGACTCGTCAACCCAGTCTTGTTTTTGTTGCTGTAGCAATAATAGCAAATAGGTTTTGAGGATTTGTGTCCCTGCATAATTAGTAGGTTAACGTTTTTCTGATTTTGTGTGAGCAAAGTTCTTCGTCTCCTTCTTGCTTTTGCAAGATGCCACCTGGAGCATCATTGCTTAGGAATTGGCAGATGCACTTCTTGCGCGTCTCAGAAGTGCTGTGCAACGGCATGGGGTCTCTTGCCTCAAAGGTCTTTTCACCAGCTCAAGCAGCTCCCAAGCAGCTGGCCAGTGGCCTCCAACCTAATAGCTATGGCCTCCAACCAGTCCTCCAACCTACTTGCGATGGCCTGCAACCTAAGACCCTTGAAACGGCTAGAAAGCCTAATGACTTAATAAGACGAAGCTCCGCAGCTGATTGATTCTCAGAATCTTTTGGCTTGGAAGACCATGCAGCCATGATCCAGTGTCGCCCCCAAGTGCCCACCAGAAATCAGCTAATTAAGTCTCAAATTCCAACCGATTTAATTGGGGTGTCTCAATCCGTGGACATTGCACCTGTTGCATTCCAAGCGATTTCGCCACATTCAGTTCAGGTGGCTCCGATGCACTTGTTCCGCGTCTTGGACGTCAAGGGTCGTGGCTTCTTGTGGCCCAAAGACTTGGCTCGCTTGGCCTGGGCGATGGAGCCGAACCTGGGCTTCCAGGACAAGCAGAGCCGACAGAGCGGTGGCATGCGCCATGTGGCATTGGTGAATCAGCCTCATGGAGCATGTGACATCATGTCTTGCTGACTCACGTTCCCAGGCTTGAAGGGACACCCATGTGTAGAATGCCGCTTGTAGCCGAAACCGCGTTCATTTCTGCGGCATCATCATCAGCATAAATCCTTTCCAAGACCTCCTTGTGACATGTCGTGCACGTGTCGACTCGTCATGAGGAGTTATCGGCCTTCTGGCGGCTGCTGGGCGGTGAGGGTGACCGTTTGCGCCCGCGCCCCTTCTGCCGCGCCCTACAGGTCGCGGTGAGCCCCACGAGTCCGACGTCGAAGCCGTCCAAGCCGACCTGGCGCCAAATCGGGCGAAGCTACGCGGCACAGCCCTCGCGAGCGCTGAGCTTTGCCCCCACGGCGGTCTCTGCGCAACAGGCGCTGGAGGCCTTTGTACAGAAGTGGAAGCCCAAGTCGAAGCTCGCGGCGAAAGCCGGTGCACCTCCCGGTGCACCACCGAGTGCGCCGCCCGCACCCGGCGCGCCGCCCATGGCCGCTTCGGCGGCTCCGGGAGTTAAGGCCACGCCTAAGGCGTCGCTGAAAGGATCTGCCAGCTACAGCAGCGAAGACTTTGAAGAGGATCGCTACAGTGAAGGCACACGTTACACAGACAGTTCGAGTGGCAAAGGCTCCAAGTGACTGCTGCAGGTGAAAAGAGACCATGAATTGTCGAGAACGCAGGGATTTTCAGAGTTTCAGAGTTGAGTGGGGCATGCCAATCTATAGAATATATAGGGTCGGTCATGTGTGAATGGCTGGATGTCTTCGGCCGGTGTCAGAGTCTTTCAGAGGTTGAAGACCACGGTTCGATGTATTTCCGGATGCCAGATGACCACGGAAGAGTTGATGCCTATGACTCATTGGGCAGCACCCAGTCCTGGGCCTCAGAATGCGTTCAATCTGAGCAAGACCGGTTTTTTTCTTGACCCAAAGAAAAACATAATAGCGTCCTTGCTACTAGTAGTAATGGCCTCCAACCTAATAGCGATGGCCTCCACCTAGTAGTTTCTGCCTACTAGTAAGATCTCAAGAACCTGTTTGGTGGCACATGCACCAGAGTTGATCTAGATACGTATATATATATATATATATGTGTGTACGTTCTAAGAGGATGAAAGGAGGTCCAAAAGCCCCGAGGAGAGGCTTGGAATGTCTCAAACGCATGGCTTGGCCCAGAGAATCTTTGAAGCTTCTCAGTAGGAAAACCTAGCCCCCGCATAGTATGGAGACTAAGTCGTCTTTAAAAGGATCCTGGTCCTCCTGGTCTTCCGGAACATGGGAGCTGGACCATCCATCACGCTGGGGATTCACAGCTTCCAAGGCGTCGAAGGGCATCCGCCAATGGTTCTCTCCTGCAATCGATCACAGGCGGAAGGGCACTGAGAGTGGCACGGCGCGTATCGGCGCGTCATGCGCGCGCTCGAAGACCTCTCTCCCACATCGGTGCCATGTTTGTTTCCTTGAGCCACTTGAATATTCTCTACATAGGCCACACTCATAAGTCTGAAAAGAATGAAGCACATCGAAGACACCCAGTTTGTAGAAAGACCTAATACAGATTGAGATTGATAAAAGACATAAATGTAAAAAATAGCATCTCCATGTTCGCTGCCAGAATTTTGCACGACCTGTACATGGCCTTTGGCAGGTGATCGCACCTTTGGGGATCCGCATCGCACGGGTGGAGGACAGAAGTGGAGTTTCAACGCCCAAACGGTTTCAATTGAAATGCATCGAAAAAGGTGCGAAGAGAGTGACTATGGTTGGGATAAATGCATGGTTTTGTTACGAATCGTTGTTTCTTGTTTGTAACAAGGTTCGCTACTAGGAACAAGTGCATCGCTACTAGGAACAAGTGCCTTACTAGTAGTAACAAGAAGCTAATAGCTTTATTGTTACTACTAGTAAGGCACTTGTTCCTAGTAGCGATGCACTTGTTCCTACTGGGGTGGCACCTGTTACTACCAGCTTGTTCCACCCCAGTCCTTTGAAGTCCCATCCAGGACCACGACAATCTGGCAGCCGTCTTCGATGCGCAAAGTGAGGCGATCTCAACGGATCCTGTGACATCTCAGTCATTTTCTGGAGGACGTGTTTAAGATAGCTTAAGTATAGATGTAAGATGATGTAAGTATGTAATTAATACATGTAGCATGACTGTCTCACATGTTTGATCAAGATTTGCAAGGTCAGAGCTTCTATAACTCAGTTCGGAGCCCTGACCTTGTCCCACCCAACTCGACCAAACTGGTTCGACAGGTGGTGACCTCTGTGTACGGCGACTTCTTCATCGCTGAGCTCATTGAGGCTCACTGACTGAATTGATCAACATGACTAGCTCGGCTGCTCGTTCTGGGAAGCCAAGCCAGTAGCAGGTCATAGTAAGAAAGCATGGCTCTAAGGGCAAGAAGGCTTGGCATTCCGACCAAACACCGTCAGGTCGAGACCTTTCAAGAAAGCTCGAGACCTTTCAAGAGAGCTCTGTAGATGGTTTCTTTTTAATTTCCCCAAGCCGTGTTGACACGCTCTTCTCACAACGTCATCTTCCAGGCTCAGAACGACGAGAACCGGGCGCTGGTTGCCGAGGTTGGGCAACAAGACGGTTCGGTCATTGGGTCCCGCTCAGCATGCGTTTCCTGATGTGTGCGACAGCTCAAAGGTATTTTGGAGGGAAAGGCCTGGATGTGGTGGGAGAGTTCTACAAGAGCCCCAATAGATTCAAGCCGTTCCTTTTCTCTCTGTAAGCCACCAAGTTCCTTGACCCTGTGGCGGCCCGTGGGGGACTACAAAAAGCTGGCCAGGTAGATGGCCGCGCAGTGGGCCTCATGTGCCTCACTTCAGACGTAGACATCAACGTGCCTTGGCCAAGGGAGATTCCCTCTTAGAATAAAAGACCTGTTGTCCTTTTGTCTTTCTCTTTCGGACCTTCGTTTGTATCGGAAAAAGCGGTTTGTGGCTTGGAAAGAGCACGGAGCTGCCGTGCTTGTCTTGGCGGCGTTCTTTGGACATGTCGGATCGGTCCGTCTGAATTCGCAACGCGTGCCTTCGCATCAGCCGAGGTTCTGGCACAATGCTTTCAGTTGGATCCCTATGACAACCTGCTCAAGGGGCCCTACATGAAGCTTGGGGCCCAAGTAGCCACCGAAAGGAGCACCCAATGATCTTTGCCGGGTGGGCAATGTGGTGTTTCCTTGGAAAAGTTGAAGCAGCAACAACTGAGAACAACAACAACAACTCAGCGCCATGCAAGTGCTTTTCCTCACTCGGTCATTCAGTCGACAACGATGATGTGCAATACCCTGTTACTATTAAAGAGGCTCTCGAAGCTCCACAACAATCTCCATTCATCCCATCTCATCCCCATCAATCGCCTAAGGCGTGTCCGTGAGCATAGCCAGCTGCTGCTGGAGGGACGCGAGGCCTCCCTTTGTGCCTCCGGCGATTTCCTCCAGGCGACCCCGAGCGGTGACCCGATGGAGACGGGTTGGGCAAACCGTTTACCAAACCGCTCGTGGATGGTGGATCCGCCCAAGGAGTCGGGTGGGTCATGCTGGGTTGGAAAAGGCTTCTCGTCGAAAGGCGTTGGTCCGAAGCAAGCGAAGTTGGCTCCGGTCTCCAGAAGCTCCGACATCTCGGTGGAACAGAAGAGTCTCAATATCCTGTTCTTGTTATTTGCACGACAACTGCCACCAAGGTGTTTAGTTCTGACGCTTTCTTGAGCCTGGTCGCGTGCGTCCCCATCCTTTTCCACCCCTGAGTCACCTGAGGTTCCGTTCCTGGCTTCGTCGCCTCGTGAGGTGGCCTTGAGCTCCATGGACATGGACGTTTTGATGGACTCCATTCCCAAGCTCGAGGACGTGGAAAGGTAGCAAGTGAGGTTTGGAGAAAAAACCCTCAGAACGGGAAGAAGGTTGGCTCATCGGGGTGGACCATGAATTGGACATCCATCCATGAACCTCCGTGGAGCAACCTGTTAAACTTGACTGTCCAACTGGTGCTCATGAGGTCGTCACGTTTGGTTAACACCGCAACTCTTTTGTTTGTTTCAGAGCGAGCAAGGACGGCCGCATCAATGCGGTACAGCTCCACGGTGCCTTGCAGCCGAGACCTGAGTTCCACACGAAGTTCCACATTGAGGCGGAACAAGAAGCGAACGTAGTAACAGGTGCCACGCTAGTAGTAACAGGTGCCTTACTAGTAGT